GTACAGGGTGGGCTGAAAGTAGGTTTGTAGTTGCTCATATGGAAAATAATAAAATAATTAATAAATAATAATACAAACATAAACTGTGTTTTGTGTACTCACAACTGTAAACCTACTTTCACCACAGCCTGTGTGCTAAAGTTGTGAATTACCTTGTTTGGTTTTCAAATGTTAACCAGCTTTATTTCTCTTTTCCTGAGATAAACCCTACCTGGTCATGATATAGTATTTGTTTCATTATATTGCTGAATTCTGTTTGCTAAACACTTAAGGGTATTCGGTCTATGTTTATGGTGGACATTAGTCCACATTTTCCTGATGTCTTTTGTCTGCCTTTGTTTTAGGGTGATGCTGAATTCCTCTAAGCTGGGCAGTGTTTTCCTTCTATTTGTGGGGAAAGTTTGTGAACTGTTAGCATTGTTTTTTTTCTTAAACGTTTGGGAGAATTCACTGATGAAGCCATACGGGCCTGAAATTTTCTTTGTGGGAAGGTTTTTAATGGCAAATACAATTTATTTGATAGACAGTGGATCATTCAGGATAAATGTATCTTCTTGAGCGAGCTGTGGTGAATTGTGTCATGAAAGACATCTGTCCGTTTAGCCTCCACTGTGGAACTCACGCGGACACATTTATTTGTCTATGACACCCTGTCATCAGGCTGTCCGCGTGGCGGGGTCTGTACTGATGTGCCCTCTCTGAGTCCCAATGTGGGTCCTTGTTTCCTTTCCCCTTTTCTTCACTGGTCAGGAATGTAGCAAATACCTTCCTTGTGTGTTTCTGAATTCTGAGCTGCCAGCTTTCTGTAAACGTCAGGCCGTCCCTGACCGCTGGCCGATTCCAGCCTTCTGCACACTTACGGAGCCGTAGGAAGGGCCGGGCCTGGTCCCTGCTCAAGGTTCCCCATCCTCATTACCTCTGCCACATCCGTTCTGGCCCCCGTGAACCATCTCTCACTTCATCGAGGGAGTTCTAGTCGTCTTCTGGGGCAGGCAGGTTGCCTCCTGGGAGTCTGAAAATGCACTTGGCCTTCAGTTCAGACTGTTCTGCTGACCCGACTCCCTGTCTTCCTACGTCAGGGGCTGTGGGGTGCTCTCATAAGATGGGGAGCAGAGGTACCTGTCCAGCCCAGAAAACTGCTACCACCCGCTGCCCCTTGGTCCCTGCCTCTGCACGGCTGGCCGCGATGGCCCCGGTAGCAGGGTCCGCATGCATTTGCCAAGGTGGGGAGGGATTCTCTAGACACCTTTACCTCTCCCCTTACTTGTCCGCTGCACCACGGAGGCATGTGGTGCTCACACCTGTCCACAGCTGCCTACTGAGCAGCACCTTGACCCACACTTTAAAAAAGATTTTTTTTAACTGCATGCATGACTTGGCCAAGTTCTTCATAGAAAGTAGCTCATACAACCAGCCTCCAAAACACGCTGAGGGAGGTGTTATCATCCTGTTTTATGTGAAGCACTTAGGTGACCTGCCTAAGGTCGCACAGCAGGTAAGAGCTATGTTCTGAGACCAGAGCTGGTGCTCTGACCCATTCTCCCCAGGCTGAGTGGCCCGGTCACCCCAGCCCTCCTTCCTTCTGCGTCACACGGAGAGGGGGTGTGGCAGAGCCAGCTTGGGACCGTCCCTGGGACTTCTTCACCTCGCTTGACCCCTCCGGAAGGAGGATGGTTGACCGGCAGGAGAGATCAGGGCCGTGGGGTCAGCCAGGGTTTCTAAAGACCACGAGACAGCAGCAGCTTCTGCTCTAGTTTGACGGACAAGCGTTCAAGGTCCCGGAGCAGCTCTCTCAGGCCAAGCCAGGCTGCTCTTCGAGAGGCTTGTCTTCCTCATTCTGAGGTTGCATTAGGAGAAGAAAAACGCTTCCTCTTTGGTTTGACAGTTTGCCCATCTGTGAACAATTAGCTGACGCTCCCTGCGCGCGGTCGTTTCTGCTCAGCCTGGTGTTTCCATGGATGCTGGCTCACCACGGGATGGGATGGAGGTCACGGGTCGCTTTTTCGTCTAAGCTGCACGACTGAGGCTTGTCCGTCGGCTTTTCTGTGTGGTCTGGGCTCCCACGGCTGCTCCTTTCTGTTTATTCATCTGCAGAATTTGGAGGGTCCTGGGCCCAATCCCCAACCCTTCAAGCTCTTGCCTTGCTGTGGTGTGTTGGGGTAAGAGGGAAAGAGTGGGACTGGGTCACAGTGTTGGAGCTGCAATAGGCCTTGTAGCTCCTTCTGGAGGCACTTGGCCCCCCATTTTACAGATGGGGAAATGGAGGCCACCCAGCAGATGGAGGATGGAACCCGGGGCTGCTAGGGTCCAGGCTGCTACCCTCTCTGCTCTCCCAGGGGACAGACCCTGGGGCCACTTTCTCTCATCTGTGTGAGAAAGCAGCTAGTTCTCATTTTAGCTGGAAAAACCCATCATTCCCGATGTGGGCAAATTCCCCCATGCTTATTTGGAAGTCAGACAGAGGAAGTGACTTCATGGTTCTGGGTGGCAAGGCTCTCACAACTGTCCTCCCCATGAGGGTCTCAGATCCGTGCTTCCCTGGGGGTTGCTGGTCTGGTTGGATCACACCTGCCTTGGCCTGTCCTAGGAAGCCGGCCTGAGGAAGCCCAGAGGCTTTGTTTGTAGCTGTGTCTGCAATGTTCCCCAGGTGCTGGAGTGGGAAGGAATGTTTCCCTCCCTTCATTTGTGTCTCCCATTGGAGAAGTCGGGCAGACGCACCAGGTAACCACAACTCCCTGGAACCTGGGGGCATGGCAGAGACACAGGGGCCAGCATGAAATTTGAAACTTGTGGGTTTGCTCAGATCCTGCCATTTTTTATTCCTTCTACTAAGAAAATACAGTGTCTGTGGAGAAGTCGTTAAAGTCTGTGAGCCTTGGTTTCTCTAAATATGATATGGGAGCAACATCTGACTTTCCAGTTCCCTTGGAAGAAGGGAAAAATAAAAATAAGGCAGCGTGGGAAAGCGTTGGACACAAAACCGATAAAATCCTGCTGCCACGACTTCGTTGAATTAGTCGATCTTGCCTAGGAGCTGCAGGGATTTTTCTGCACCCTAGAAAATCACGCTCTGCAGAGTGAGCAGGTGCCAGCCCTTCAAGAAAGCAGCCCGAGCCCAGGGGCCAGGACAGAGAGCGGCCCTTCATGCATCGAAGTCTCTGTCTCCTGTCCAAAGCTCAGGAGAGGCAGGCTGGTCCCCAAGAGGTCCCTGGGCCAGTGCTATTGAGTTGGGTCATTGAGGTCCCTGGTAGGGACACACAGCCATGGCAGGGACTGAGGAAACAATCTCCGCAGACGGGAAACCTGTGGCAATGCCGTGCTGAGACCACAGAGCAAGTGAAAATGTCCCAGCTGTCACTGACGGCCTAGGCCGGGGTGGCTGCACCCTCAAGGGGAGGCAGGCATGCATGTATGTGGGTACATGAGGGTGCATACATGACTGTAGGTGTGGGAATGTATGTGTTTATTAGCATATGTGAGTATAGGTATATGTGTATAAGTGTGCGAGCATAACAGTACGTATGTGTAGGTGAGTGTGTGCTGGGGACACACAGGCCCTTTGGTAAGTGAGGGGCAGTTCTGCAGGCCAGTGGGGTGCTCTTAAGCTCCAGGATCGCCCTGCGTGAGCTGCAACAGAGGGTGGGTGGTGAGGGGCAGAGACCGCTGCCTCTCAGACCATCTGTGGCGAAGGCACAGGTCCCTTTTCCTTTTACCTCCTACCCCTCCCGAGTCAATGTACAATGTGCTAAAACTGAATTACTACCAAAATGCAATAAAAAGACAAAAATACAAGTCCCAATGTAAAGCTCTCGGTGGCAACGAGCCTAGCGTTCCTCTGTGAAGTTGCTGTAAAGGTTTCCGAAAGCTTCCTGCCAGGTTCTGCGCGCGGCCACGTGGTTGTGAGCAACCTGCAGAGTCCCGGGGCCCTGGAACGAGCTTTGTGCAGTGCCGGGCGGGCTGGACGGGCAGAGGCGAGAAAGGAGGGAAAGCTCATGGCTCTCAGCCACATGCCAGCCTCAAACCCCTCCGGGCTGTTTGAGCAGAGAGAGACTAGCTGAGGAGCACCAGCAGGTGGCAGGGATTTGGGGCCAGAGCAGGCGCTCAGGTTGCACTTCCGGGGCCACACTGCCTTCGCCACCACCCGAGCCAGCCAGACGGTGTTCTGGGACCGTGCGTCTGCCTCCGGGAGCTGCTCTCTGAATCAGATGCCCTGGGTGTGTGCATCTGTTGGTTGGCAACCAACCTTCGGCCCTGCTGGGAGCCCTGCACTGGGTGTGTGATAGCTTTGTCTGCAAGTAGCTTCAAAAGTGCCTACCATGAGGAGGTGCACTCATTCTAGTGCACATTTTTATATAGAAAAATGGGGTCCCTCAGTGTCCCTCTGGCTTCTTTCCCTGAGTTTCAAGGCACCTCTTGTGCCCTTTGGCCTGGGAAGTTTGGGGTTGGGATGAGTGCGGTGGAACCCTGCTCTGGGGACACACAGTGGCCTCCCCTGGCCTTGTGGTCGCGGTGGGAGCTGGGCCTTTGAATACTTTTTCATATTATCTTTTAAACCTATGACATCTGATGGCCATCCTTTAGGAACAGCTTCAGCTCTCCCCAGGACAGTGGCAGTGTGCTGAGAAGGACTGCTTCTTTGTGGTGCTGGGGGAACTGGGGAGGGGACACTTGGCGAAGGGGTGCCATGTCAAGGTGACCCTGGGGTGACCTGCTTGGAATAACTGGTAGAAGGTCCAGTTATTTGCTGGTGCCTCTAGCTCAACATCTTCCCAGTGAAGCTACTGAAGAAAGCAAGCCAGGCAAAGAGGTCATCTTTGACAGACATTGCTGTCTTCTCGGGGTGGGTATATCCTCCAGAGCCAGAAGGACCTATGCCATAGAGCCCAGGTCCAGGATCTTGTCCTCACCCCTCTCCAGGTTTTCCTAAGGACCTTGGATGCCCCCAGCCCACCCAGAGTTCTCCAGGCGGCTAAGTGTCTTCTCTGTGCTTCCGTTCCCAGGGCAGGACGACCCCAACAGCTTGCGCCATAAGTACAACTTCATTGCCGACGTGGTGGAGAAGATCGCTCCCGCCGTGGTTCACATCGAATTGTTCCGCAAGTAAAGAGGGGCTTCCTTTTTTCTGCAGCCTCTGAAGCTTCCGGCAATACATGCTGCTCAGAGCAAGCCCATTGGAGCTCCTTCTGAGCCCCCTTTCAAGTGTCAGAGTCACTGAATTTATCCCAGGGGAGGAGGAGAGGGTTTCTCCCTGAAGATGTTTTCCCGTTTGACTATTTAAATCTACATTCTTGACCCTTCCAGATGTTTGAAGGGCCTCTGGCCCCGAAGAGATTCCCACAGAACATTCTCTAAATGGAATTTATTTTGATGCGTATAAAAGTTGGCCTAACGTTCCCTTTTAGAATGTTAGATGAGCCCCAAATGTATCATAATGATGGCCGGATGTGGGTTGCCGCTGGCGAGCCCATTCTGCAGCGTGAGGAAGAGTGGATTTCCAGGTGGTTCAGGTTTGACTGGCTGCTCTTCTGCATTCCAGGCTTCCTTTCTCCAAGAGGGAGGTGCCAGTGGCCAGCGGGTCTGGGTTTATCGTGTCTGAAGATGGACTGATTGTGACCAACGCCCATGTGGTGACCAACAAGCACCGGGTCAAAGTGGAGCTGAGGAATGGCGCCACTTACGAAGCCAAGATCAAGGACGTGGATGAGAAGGCGGACATCGCCCTTATCAAAATTGACCACGAGGTACGCGTGTTTGTCCCCCACCCGCAGCACTGAGTTCTCAGGTGCTCGGGCTGAAACTTGCAAAACCTGGAGAGGCCTCCTCTCCTCTGGGGACAGCAGTGTCACTGGACTGAACCAGTCAAATCTGGGCCAAAGGGCGGCAATAGGAGATGCTGGCTGTGGCCTGGGGTCGGGGAGGGGCAGGGGTTCGGGCTTGTGGCAGCTCCCGTAACAAATCAGCAGGCTGTGAGGCCAGAGACTTTTGAAAATAGTGTTGTACATATTTATAAAGCAAAGCCACGGGTCTTCCAAGAAATTGTAGGTAAGCAGCGGAAATTGAGTCTCTCTTCCATTCTGAGGCAACTGTTGATGCAAATTTGTGGGTCTTCCAAATTAGGTTTTTGTAGGCCAACTTCCTCTGTCTTTGAAGCACTACCCCATACTTAGGAAGGTTTGGGACACCTTGAAATCAAACAAAGCAAGGGCGTCCCTCCCTTACAGAACTGCCCGGAGCTTTCAATGTCTTAATGTGCGCATGACTCTTTCGTGAGAGGCCTGCCCCCCGATTATAATGACCTGAATATGGGATCTTTGGTTTCCCTTCGCTCCCACAGCTGAAGCACAGCGAACTCCATTTGGGAAATGCTGTGTTCAGAAATGGTTTGCTTTCTCCTTAAATGTTGTGCTTGAAGTCCCTTTTGCTCTGTGGATTTGTTCAGCAAAATCTCCGTGCCTGACGTTAAATCTGGCTCTTACTAGAGAGACGCCAGAAACTCCCACTCGTCGGTAGGTTGGTTGGTTGTGGGGGTCTGGCTTGCTGTGTGGCGTGCGCCCGGTGAGATGTGCCTTCCCGACTTGGTCAGGAAGGACGACTCTGGGAGGGCTGGAAGCTCGCAGCTGGCCAGGAAAAGATGGCAGATGGAGCTCCCAGAGGGTCTTCTTCTCCAGCTCTCTGCGTAACTACCTGTGGGTGGGCGGTGAAGTCCCAGCAGGGTGGCGTCGCACAGGCTGTGTCTGACTGTGCCCTTCCTCGGGGCAGGCACGGCTCTGTGCCCGGTGTAGTGAACTGGCCTCTTGCAAGGTTGCCTTGCAATTGTCTATTATTTCTGTCAGGTCACTGTGGTCTTGCGAGTAACAATGAATCTTTCAAAACGTGTTTATTGGTCACTGTATAATCACGATGTCTTCTATTTGATGAGCTCTAATGCCTTTATTTGTAACTTTCACCCAATCTGCCAGGTAGTCGTATTAACCCCACTTGGCAGGGGAAGAAACCGAGGCTCAGAAAGCTGCCCGAGGCCACACCGCCATGCTGTGGTGAAGGCACAGCCTTCAAGGTCAGCCAGGCTGCTGCTCCGCAATTGCCCAAGCCCACGGCCGTCCGTGCGATGGGAAGGCTGGATTTTAAATTGACCACAGAAGGCTGGCCGTCCCCATTTAGGGACGCTGCCAGGAGGGCGTCCAGGATGTGGCAGTCTCACCGGACGGAGATGGGCCAGAATAGCACATCCTGGGGCCCCACACCGGGGCACGTTAGCTCCACCGAGCCCTTGGGAGGCAGCCAGCCATCGGGGTAGGGCCAGCCGGGCGCTGGCCTGGGTGCTGCGTGACCCGCCTCCACCGAGCAGTTCCTCGTGTGGAGCGTGTGGGTGTCGACCGCATGGCTGCTCTGGTGGGGGCAGGGGGCCGGGATTCTTTTCAGATTTGGAGCTCAGGTGCAGTGTGAGCCGGTGTCACTCTGGCAGGCCCCGGCAGGGCAGGAGGGATCTCAGCCGTCCGCTTGGCGCAGTGGCTTCGACCCGGCTCCCGCTGGCCTGGGGGTCTCGCCCTTCCGCTCCCAGCCTGCTATTTGAGATGTGTTTCTAGCCCGAGAAAAAGGGGCTCGATAATTGAAAGGTGAGCAAATGTGGCTTTTTGAAATGGAATCAAAATGAAAGGATATTAAATTGCAGACACCCACACAAGAGACTGGTTTCCACAGACCAAATGGCTTTCTTTTTTGCTGATAGTTGTTGGAAGTAAGGAGAATGCAGACGCCTCTTCCAGTCCTTTCTTCGCCTTCGTGGTTGATGTGATGATTTATAGGAGGGCGTGTGGAGACTGGTTTGGAACGAGGCCTCCCTCACCTTGGCACGCACACGGTGTAACCCTGTGCGGGCCATGGACGGGTGGGGGCTGCCTGATGTGAGTCACTCTCAGGAGTGACAGGAAAGGGGAAACAGGGCAGGAAAACCCAGAGGAGGCAGAACAGAACCAACGAAAGTTGGGCTTGAGGGCTGAACGTGATTCCAACTGGTGCTTGCCAGGTGAGGCCATGGCCCAGCCTCCCAGAGCTATTTCCAACGACCCAGGGAAGCGGCGTGACAGTGGCCACCGACAGGGCCCAGTTGTTGGCTCCTACTCTGGGCCCATTTCTCCCCTCCAGCACTGTGATTTCACACAAAGGGTTCCCCGTTACCAGAAGGGGTGATCGCCCCAGGTCCGATCAATGCGAATGACCATGGGCATCTGATGTCATTGCCACTTGCCACCAGCCGCCCCTCTGGAGCAGTGGCCAGCATTTCCTCTGGGGTCTGCTTCTCTCTCACTGGTGGGACCATCAGTCACGGTGCCCGTGAGCCACTGGACCAAGCAGACCCGCCCCGTGGGGTTGCATCTGGCTGTCACCCACACAAACACCCACGTGAGTGCCACTGGCACAGCTCCTGCTGCCGAGATCCCCGGCAGTGTCTGAGTTCTGGCCCTTTCTGAACCTGATTTGCCTCCTCTTTCTTCCATTCTTGGAGTTCCCCTCGCATCTCCAGTGAACCCCTGTGGGCCCAAGGCTGCCAGAGACATTCTGGGCCCGAGACCAAATAACTCTTCCTCTGGCTTCTCCGTGCCGGGGAGACACATGCACACTGGCCCTCCCCGCTGAACCTTCAGTGGGGAAAACTTTTGGAAGAAGGCTTGCCGAGCCAGCAGGCCCCTCCTGCCTGGTCAGCCTCCCCTCGCGGAGTCAGGGGAGGCGGGGCCCCCCCCCCCCAGGCTTCCCCTCCATCCTAGGGTTTGGAACTCCCTTCCCTCAGCCGGGTGGGAAAGCCTGCTGCAGGAAGGGGGGACAGTGTGCGCACAAACATTTTAATAGGAAGCAGCTTTGAGGGCAAACTAGTTCAGCGTCAGATACAAACTGTTTCCAAATGTGCTTAGCATGACACTGGCCGTGTTTGCAGAACATTTTCGTTCTGTATCCAAAGGCAGCATTTTGTCTGTGCAGTTTTTTCCCCTGAGTAGCTGAGAGAGAGAAATGCGGAGAAGGAGAGAGGGAGGGAAAAGAGGGCTCTTCGCTCACTTCAGGCCAGAGTGTGAGGCAGAAATACTGGGAATGGATTGAAGAAGGTAAGAGGGGAAAGTGGCTTGTGTTGCAGCTGTTTCTCCAGCTGTGTTGATTAGCAAACGCAGGGGAGAAGAGCACCCGCCCCCCCCCAACGATTGCAACATTCGGGTCCTGTCCTATCTGTCTGCATACAACCCTTGACACATTTCCCGCCACCCTCGCAGAGAGAGCTTAACCCCTGCAGGTCTGGCCCGACGGGGTGCCCCCTCCCTCCACGCCTCACCCACCCTGCTTGGCCACCCGCTCTGCTATCATCTCCCCACCTCCGTCCGTGTCCCTCTGGGGATGTATAACCCCTGAAACAGTCACCTTTCACTGTTTATCCCTCCTCATCTCCTTATCATAATTACAGTTGACTTATTTATGTGTTGATTTAAGTTCATCTTCGCTGCTAGAGTGAGGGACACACCTGTCAGGTGGTAGGTGGCCCCGAGTAGGCAGTGTCCCAAGTGTGAATGTCAGCGCCCTCTGCTCAGAAGGACGCAAGGCCTGTCCCTGTGCCCCCACCCCCCACCCAGGGCCTTGTTCTGTGGGGGCAGGGGGGCAGGGGAGGGTGGAGGGAGAAGGCGCCTGGCTGGTGAGTGAGGTAGCTGCTCTCTGACTGATTTTCAGATGAGACGATGGGGCACTAGCCAGGTTGCAGAAGCGCCCGCACCCCCGCAGCCCCGCCTGCCCCCTCCCACCGCTGTCTCCTCTGACTTCAGCCAGTGCTCCTCTCGCTCCCCAGGGCTGCCTGGGGTTTGGACGGCAGCCGGCTTTGCCGGGGCTGCAGCAGCCTGTGGTCTTCGCGAACTCGGGGAGCTGGCAAGGTGTCAGGCTTCCTGTGGGCGCTTTTCCCTGACGCCAGCAGCTGGGGAAATATTTGGAAGCAGCCTTGTTGAGGCTTACGAGGTGGGGTGTTTTTCTTTCCCTCACCCCCCAGGCTTGTGTCTGTCTCTGGCCACCTTTTGGGCCAGGTGCCACCTACAGACCTGTTTGAAGTGGCTGAAAGTGAGACCTGGGGGCCGGGGTGGCTCAGCTCTGCTGAGCTGGCTGCTGGGCTGCTCCGTGTGACATTCAGAGCTGGGGTCTGGGGACGCGGGGGCTGGTGCCTTTCTCCTGAAACCCCTGTCCGTGGCAGAAGAGCAGGCTCTGGTCTCCTCTCAGAATGTGGCTCTGTGTGTTGGGAGGGGATCGCCCTGAGCTCTCTGAGTGGGGAGGGTCCAGGTGTCCCCCAGGCTTGTCCCTGGGTCAGTGCTGAGACAGAGAGTGGCGTGACTCAGGCCGGCCCTCCAGCCAGCTCTCCTCAGACCACCTGACCGTGAGAAGGCGCTGACTAAGCCCCAGCTCACCCAGAAGCGCATCAGGTAACAGAGAGCCCGCTCTGGATGGCTCCCCATCTTCCAGCCTGGCCTCTGGCCACAGCCACCCTCTCATTGTGTTTTTCCACGTTGTACTCCTTCCCCCTCCCTCGGTGCTGGTCTCGGGGTATCGTCCCTGTCCTTTCTCTCCCCAGACTTACAGAGCTGCCATTAAATTTGCTAAAGAAGCCACAGACCCTGCGGATGTTCCCAGGTTTCCATTACTGTATTGATTTTTACCATTTTTAGGGGATGGGAATCAATAATGCATTAGGCAGCGGCCACCCAGCTGGAGGAGGGGAGGG